TATTAAAAAATAAAAAAGGGAAAATGGGAATCGGAAACTCTAAAGGAAGTAGGTCAACCAAGGTAAAAAAGGAATAGCCGCATGAGAGATGAGGAACAGAGGCAACATTTTGTGATATGGGAAGGAGGGTTCTGCAAACGCATACATGACCAGAGGTAATATATGTTTATCACTTTCTGAACTCAGCATATGTAGCATTCTTTATAAATATACACACCAATTAAAACAATGCATATTTTCTTTTAATAAAAAAATGTAAAATTTTCCCAGCCAGTACAGCACCATGATTTATTTCCTCTAGCATTTACTCCATCATACAGACTATAGAATATCCTTTTAAGTGTAACTAATAAAGTAATAAAACAATTAATTTATATGTAACAGAAAAAACATACATTTATCACCAATAAAAGCAAGTATAGAATCTATGAAAGCCAAATTCATGGATGATTAGATCCACGGAAAATCTGGTTAAGAATTAAAAAAAATTATATCAACTTACTAAGTGTAACACGTCTAGCGTGAATTGCACAGAGCATTCCATCTTCAAACAAGTGAACCAGACATTCCTCAGCTGCCTGCAGTATGGTTATATAAATTCCAAATAATGAAATGGTCATGTTTTATGAAAAATTTGGTTAAAAATGACAACAACAGGTGAAAATGAATAAATGATTCTAAATCAATGACAAGCATTTTAAAACAAATCACGACCATAGCAGCGCTATTGACAAGGACTTGATACAAGGCATCCAAAAACATATCGGAGAGATGTAAACGTAGCAAACAATTGGTGAGACAAGTTAAAAGGTGTGGATGGGTGATCAAGAGTGAGTTTTGATGTCAGGGAACTTTGAGAGGGGAGAAATACAAGTATTCGCTGCATAGGAAACGAGAAGGAAGCTCTTATGCTTAAACTCTTCTTTTTGTTTCCCTCAAACTTGGGAGTAGATGAAATAGATTTGGTTTGAAAATAAAATTGTAATTTACAACCTAGTAAGTTTATTTATTTCAAATAATATTGAAAATTTACACACGCTTCCCTTCCCCTTTCCTCCATCGTTAAGAATAACAATAATCCAAGCATAGAGTTGACAACCCCTAATCATTCCATAATCTATTTTGATTTTATAATATCCCCTTTCTTTTCCAATGTGATAGCCATGTTGAAAAAGTATTCCAGAATTGATTACATGAATGCAATAATAAGAGAACAAAAAAAATATTACTTTCTATCTAAAAAAGCATACATTGCAACTTGCGTGTGCATATGCTGTTCAACCCCAGAGATAACTAAAACCCTTCTCCATTCACCCTCCCTGAAGTTCAGATTCTTAAATGTTGGTTAAAAATAGTCTACATTCTCTTTGATCTCAATTAATAAACACCCTTGGAGACAAGTTAGTTTGAAGAGTTCTGAGACACTGCACCCTTTTGCACTCCCCCTCTCCTTGTGGAGCCTCCCTGACCTTTCCCTCCATACACCCAGTAAATAGAAAAAAAAAAAAAAAAAAAAAACTCCAGCTATGTCTGTTGAATTCGTAAGCATTTATTAAAACAAAGGGACCTTGCATAATTGATGCCTTAATTTTTATAATATAAAGAAAAGGTTAAAAAGAGATTTGTAATCAAACATTTATCACTTGAAAGTCTGATGTGATGAAATAACAACTCTTAACAAGTTACTTATTATTATTCTCATTTCATTAAGAATGCAACTAACTAGAGCATCTTGATTTATAGTTATACATTGAATTTATAAATCCTCAATTATCACAAATCAATGCTTTTCTTTTTAAGCAGATTAGGTAATATTGGACAGATTTTCAAAGTTTAAAACCATGTAAAAGACACACAAATAAAATAAATTTACAAAATAAAATAAAATTGAATGCAGTAGAATCTAATAACACATTATTTTAAGTATAAAAATTTAAACAGTTCACCCAGCAACAAATTGACACAAGGTCGGGAAGAAGTTGTGTTAAAACAAATTTACTTTTAACATAAATTTTTGTTTTTATTAAAAACAGCCTTTGTGTTCTAATAAGATGAATTGAAAATTCGAAACACTCTAGCACCCTAGTAATAACTAAAATGCACATGGAATAAGTTGCATACCTCCTGCAGTGCTATCACAGCTTCAGGCGTCCAACGAGACACCTCCGTAGAGAATTGATGTGTAATTTGTTTGACCTACAGCCAAACAAACATTGTCAAAACAGCGTGAACAAACTTCTCACAAGATTTAATTCAGCCAAATAAGGTACTTGATGCTATGACAACAAATCTTAATTAATGACATAATCATGATTCCATACAAAGCATGTTCTTCAAGCACTTCCATCAGTCAACAAGGGGCAAAAGTTAAAAAAATATTCCTACTAAAAATAACAAACGGCAAACAAACTATGATACTCATTCCTACACCCAAGTAATTTACTTACTGTTAATTAGCAACCAAACTATGATGCCCAGTTTTACACCCAAGTAATTTACATAGTGTTAATTAGAGTGGGAGAAGCTGCAAGTGAAGAATTATGAAAATCACAAATTTTAGATGCAAACCTTGCACAAATTACTAGAATGAAAATCTAATTCTAATTAAAAAACATTACCAAAAGAACTGCATCAATTTTTGTCCTTATGAAAACCAGATATTGAACATTGATTTCAGATTCAGATATTTACAGCAGTGGTGAATACAGAGAACTAACTCTGCTAACTGTCCAGCAAATATATACTAACACAATTGCTTAATTGTAACTAGTGTTTTTTGCATATACAATCCATCAAATAAGCAAAGCAGCATACCCGAAACTAACATCACATTATTACTGTTTATTAAATTTCCTAGTACAAGCAACACAAAAATGGGCTAATCTCCACCTAAGAGCAAATAGTGATGGTTGCAGAAAAACTTACACATCTGATAAAGGGGGCAGCCGGAATAAGAAGCTCGCAACTTCTCTGAAAACGACGAATCTCGCGAAGCGCCGCTGTTCCTGGCTTACTGCGCTTTTTCATCTTTCCCTGCGTCTGTGGCGCTGCTGCTGCTGCTTCTTTTTGAAATTTTCAACAAATGATGATGAAACATCAGAACACCAAAATAATCAGCACAATAATTACAACCACAGCTCAACTAAAACGAAGAATGCGGTTTTTCACGTACCCTGCGGCTCCTTTTGTTGAGTCCTACTATTACTTCTAGTCACAGGCTTCAATCACAATTACAGAAAACAAAGGTCAAATTAGGGATTTCGCAAATCGAAACGCAGAGAGAGAGGGAGAGAGTTACCGATTGCTGTGACGGTGGAGTGGACGTGGAAGCGCTTTTGGCTTTACCTTTACCTTCGAAATTGAATAGGGAAGAAAATCAGGGTTTGGTTTTGAAAAGTGAAAAAAAAAAAAANGAGATGAGGAACAGAGGCAACATTTTGTGATATGGGAAGGAGGGTTCTGCAAACGCATACATGACCAGAGGTAATATATGTTTATCACTTTCTGAACTCAGCATATGTAGCATTCTTTATAAATATACACACCAATTAAAACAATGCATATTTTCTTTTAATAAAAAAATGTAAAATTTTCCCAGCCAGTACAGCACCATGATTTTTTTCCTCTAGCATTTACTCCATCATACAGACTATAGAATATCCTTTTAAGTGTAACTAATAAAGTAATAAAACAATTAATTTATATGTAACAGAAAAAACATACATTTATCACCAATAAAAGCAAGTATAGAATCTATGAAAGCCAAATTCATGGATGATTAGATCCACGGAAAATCTGGTTAAGAATTTAAAAAAATTATATCAACTTACTAAGTGTAACACGTCTAGCGTGAATTGCACAGAGCATTCCATCTTCAAACAAGTGAACCAGACATTCCTCAGCTGCCTGCAGTATGGTTATATAAATTCCAAATAATGAAATGGTCATGTTTTATGAAAAATTTGGTTAAAAATGACAACAACAGGTGAAAATGAATAAATGATTCTAAATCAATGACAAGCATTTTAAAACAAATCACGACCATAGCAGCGCTATTGACAAGGACTTGATACAAGGCATCCAAAAACATATCGGAGAGATGTAAACGTAGCAAACAATTGGTGAGACACGTTAAAAGGTGTGGATGGGTGATCAAGAGTGAGTTTTGATGTCAGGGAACTTTGAGAGGGGAGAAATACAAGTATTCGCTGCATAGGAAACGAGAAGGAAGCTCTTATGCTTAAACTCTTCTTTTTGTTTCCCTCAAACTTGGGAGTAGATGAAATAGATTTGGTTTGAAAATAAAATTGTAATTTACAACCTAGTAAGTTTATTTATTTCAAATAATATTGAAAATTTACACACGCTTCCCTTCCCCTTTCCTCCATCGTTAAGAATAACAATAATCCAAGCATAGAGTTGACAACCCCTAATCATTCCATAATCTATTTTGATTTTATAATATCCCCTTTCTTTTCCAATGTGATAGCCATGTTGAAAAAGTATTCCAGAATTGATTACATGAATGCAATAATAAGAGAACAAAAAAAATATTACTTTCTATCTAAAAAAGCATACATTGCAACTTGCGTGTGCATATGCTGTTCAACCCCAGAGATAACTAAAACCCTTCTCCATTCACCCTCCCTGAAGTTCAGATTCTTAAATGTTGGTTAAAAATAGTCTACATTCTCTTTGATCTCAATTAATAAACACCCTTGGAGACAAGTTAGTTTGAAGAGTTCTGAGACACTGCACCCTTTTGCACTCCCCCTCTCCTTGTGGAGCCTCCCTGACCTTTCCCTCCATACACCCAGTAAATAGAAAAAAAAAAAAAAAAAAAAAAACTCCAGCTATGTCTGTTGAATTCGTAAGGATTTATTAAAACAAAGGGACCTTGCATAATTGATGCCTTAATTTTTATAATATAAAGAAAAGGTTAAAAAGAGATTTGTAATCAAACATTTATCACTTGAAAGTCTGATGTGATGAAATAACAACTCTTAACAAGTTACTTATTATTATTCTCATTTCATTAAGAATGCAACTAACTAGAGCATCTTGATTTATAGTTATACATTGAATTTATAAATCCTCAATTATCACAAATCAATGCTTTTCTTTTTAAGCAGATTAGGTAATATTGGACAGATTTTCAAAGTTTAAAACCATGTAAAAGACACACAAATAAAATAAATTTACAAAATAAAATAAAATTGAATGCAGTAGAATCTAATAACACATTATTTTAAGTATAAAAATTTAAACAGTTCACCCAGCAACAAATTGACACAAGGTCGGGAAGAAGTTGTGTTAAAACAAATTTACTTTTAACATAAATTTTTGTTTTTATTAAAAACAGCCTTTGTGTTCTAATAAGATGAATTGAAAATTCGAAACACTCTAGCACCCTAGTAATAACTAAAATGCACATGGAATAAGTTGCATACCTCCTGCAGTGCTATCACAGCTTCAGGCGTCCAACGAGACACCTCCGTAGAGAATTGATGTGTAATTTGTTTGACCTACAGCCAAACAAACATTGTCAAAACAGCGTGAACAAACTTCTCACAAGATTTAATTCAGCCAAATAAGGTACTTGATGCTATGACAACAAATCTTAATTAATGACATAATCATGATTCCATACAAAGCATGTTCTTCAAGCACTTCCATCAGTCAACAAGGGGCAAAAGTTAAAAAAATATTCCTACTAAAAATAACAAACGGCAAACAAACTATGATACTCATTCCTACACCCAAGTAATTTACTTACTGTTAATTAGCAACCAAACTATGATGCCCAGTTTTACACCCAAGTAATTTACATAGTGTTAATTAGAGTGGGAGAAGCTGCAAGTGAAGAATTATGAAAATCACAAATTTTAGATGCAAACCTTGCACAAATTACTAGAATGAAAATCTAATTCTAATTAAAAAACATTACCAAAAGAACTGCATCAATTTTTGTCCTTATGAAAACCAGATATTGAACATTGATTTCAGATTCAGATATTTACAGCAGTGGTGAATACAGAGAACTAACTCTGCTAACTGTCCAGCAAATATATACTAACACAATTGCTTAATTGTAACTAGTGTTTTTTGCATATACAATCCATCAAATAAGCAAAGCAGCATACCCGAAACTAACATCACATTATTACTGTTTATTAAATTTCCTAGTACAAGCAACACAAAAATGGGCTAATCTCCACCTAAGAGCAAATAGTGATGGTTGCAGAAAAACTTACACATCTGATAAAGGGGGCAGCCGGAATAAGAAGCTCGCAACTTCTCTGAAAACGACGAATCTCGCGAAGCGCCGCTGTTCCTGGCTTACTGCGCTTTTTCATCTTTCCCTGCGTCTGTGGCGCTGCTGCTGCTGCTTCTTTTTGAAATTTTCAACAAATGATGATGAAACATCAGAACACCAAAATAATCAGCACAATAATTACAACCACAGCTCAACTAAAACGAAGAATGCGGTTTTTCACGTACCCTGCGGCTCCTTTTGTTGAGTCCTACTATTACTTCTAGTCACAGGCTTCAATCACAATTACAGAAAACAAAGGTCAAATTAGGGATTTCGCAAATCGAAACGCAGAGAGAGAGGGAGAGAGTTACCGATTGCTGTGACGGTGGAGTGGACGTGGAAGCGCTTTTGGCTTTACCTTTACCTTCGAAATTGAATAGGGAAGAAAATCAGGGTTTGGTTTTGAAAAGTGAAAAAAAAAAAAAGTGAGGCGTTGATTTTCAGACATACCAACTTTGCGCAAAGCTGGTGTGTGCTTCACTCTCGCCATGGAACACAAGGAACAAACTCTGAAGAAATCGAAACTTCACTCTTCGGATTCAGTTTCCGGTTTCATTTTCTGCATTTTCTGAAATTTCAAAATGTAGCATTTTGCCTCCATTTTATTCGTTTCCCAAACTATCCCTACTTCAATATTACCGTTATCTCACTAACATAAAGTTTAAATTATTATTTTTCTAACTTTTTAGTTTAATTTTGGCAAATTATTAATTTGGATAAGGTCAGAATTAAAAATTACAACTATAAGATTAATAAATTAACGTTTACATAAATTTAAAAGTTTTTTAACTAAAATAATTATCTCATTGTTTAATATTTAAATAACTGTTTATTTCAATTTAATATTTATTTAAATTAAAATGATTATCTATAATAATATTTGCATGTGATTTTTAAAGTAATTACATTACTTATAAATTTTGTTAATATGATTAAATCACTTTTATCATGTCTTAAATTATTATTAAGTTAATCTAAGAATAAAAAATAAAATAAAACAAAAGACAAAAATTGCGAAACAAGAATTGGAAACAGTAAAATAACAATTTAATCAAGTGATTATTTTTTAATTATGTGATAAACAAAAATTAGAAGATAGTATTAAAAAAATTATTTCTTGATGTTTAAAAAAACTGCTAATAAGTTAGAATCATCTTTACTTATTAGAAAGAAAAAAAAAAGTATGATCATATTTTTTATCCAATATTTAAATTACTTTAAATTAAAAAAAAGTACGTTAACAAATTACAATATTTAAAATCGTCAGTTTTATCCAATCATTTCAAAAATATTGTTTTAATGAAAAAATTATTATATTTTTATTTATTAAACATGTAATTTTAATTCGTGATTAATATGTCATTTAATTGTTAACCAACACTATTATTCTATAATTTGGATATGTGTTATGGATAATGTAGCAAATGATCATATGAATAGGAGAAAAACTGGAATATTATTTTTTCAAATTAGCACAAGATATTCATAGTTAAAAAATGTTAATAGATTGAGTTAGGGATAGATAATGCCATCAGTTTAAAAAATATTTATAAATATTTTAAAATATGTGAATATTCATAAATATCTAAAAAGATATATTTGATAAAATTTTAAAATAAAATATAAATAAAATTATAAGTATATATAATATAAATTAAATTAAAGTTAAATTTTATTAAATTTAACTTAATAAAATATAAATTAAATTTTAATTTTAAATTTTTGTAATTAATAATATAATATATAAATAGTATGATATCACTCTCAGTCTATTTATAAACAGATAAATATATTTACATATAATAAATGTCGGTTTTTTTGTTACAAATTTTATTTATAAATATATGTGAATAAAGATATTTTTATCATTTCTGTTTGTAACACTAAAATGCATTAGTTATGGTTTTATTATATTAAAAAAAGAATGTGAGAATATGAAAAGGATAATAATTCTGAGAAATAAATCAATAAAAGAAATGTTTTAATATATGTCCATTTTGGACATATTGATAATCTATAATACATACAAATGGAATCTATAATGTACAATTTATATTTATAATCTATAATATATTCTATAATTCTTTCGATAATATATACAAATAGAAGAGTTACAAATGACAACTTTTTATATTGTCCTGCAAAGAAAAAATCTAAAATTATAAATGCAATAAAAAAAGTTTTCGACTTCCTTCATATATAATTCAATAAGATTTTTTATAGGAGAGGAAGATGAATATGAATATAATATAGGAATACATGAAAGAAGGAAAAAAAGTGTTATATTAGTGTACAAGTTGGAATCAAATTTACAAGAAGAATAATGTGAAGAAAAAAAAAGCTGTTAATCTTTTTTTTTTATTTGGTAATTTACTACTACTTAATATAAACATCAGTTACTTTTAAAGTTTATGTTTATAAACACTATTAAATTTAGTTATTTTTGTTGAGCATTGTGCTATAATAAAATCTCTTGAATTCGAGTTTGATTTTTTTTGTCATATATTAATTTCGGACAAAATTACTTTAAAAAATTACATCTAAAGGGTTTAATATAATATATTGACAAAGAATACGAATGTTTTCTAAAACTATCAGTGCATTAAATCTATTTATATTATTTATATTTATAATGTTGTACATTTTGTTGATCTCTTTGGTTTTTACATTTATTAAATTTAGTAAATATTTAAAATCAATATAATGGTCATCAAAACAATTTTTTTATTTAGACATGATTTTGTTGATAGAATATTTTCACTTGGTTTCATATTTTTTGTACTAAAAAATCATGAAATTAAATTGTTACACTATGAAAGAATTGCATATTAAAGACTAATTTTGTTCATGATCAAATGAGTTCTAAAGTTGAAGATGGATGAAACTCTTTACAATAATGACAACAATTTCAAAGAGAGAATTGAGAACATGAAATCTTATTTGCTTGCACCAGAAGTGAAGGATTGAATGTTATATACTAAATCTTAAAACACTACAATGTTTACTTTGACAGCTATCTCTACAACACATCCATCAATTACAAAAAAAGTGTACCAAGTAGCACAAGTGGAAGGATAATCATAACAGACTGAAAAATAATTATGCAACTTATGTCATGGATCTTATCTGCAAATCAAGATGCATGACTTTCTGATAGGATTATAGAATGTAGTATTTATTGTTCACCTCTTCATACATGCTGGACAATTGATTTGCCTTCTATGGAATTCTGTTCAAGATTAAAAGAAGTGGAGTTCTAGGGCTGTGATGGGGTAGGAGATGTTGGAGGCTTGAAATCTGGATACTGCAATTCAAGAAAAACACAGAAAACTGTCAGAAGTATGCAGTATACAGAAAATTCACCATATATGTTCCAAATGAGGTTTATTTGTGACTACAAAAATGCAGTTTGACATTTGATTATCATGCAATTACTTGATTCCAACACCTACTTCTGTGAAAAAGCAATGCCTGCTCTATTCAGATGTATTAGAAACTATGAAATCATGAGTGAGGGCAGTAGAATGACACAAGCAAAATATTTTGATTTTCCAGAAGATTTCAACCAATAATAGTATGTTCAAAAGAGTGCTAGGAAAAATGTGTTAATAGCAACTTTCAAAAGAAGAGAATATACATGGAAAAAACGAAGTTGTAAGAAAATTGGCAACCACAAGCATGAGTAATCAGCACAGAAAGTGAAAAACTAGTAGAGCAGGAAAGTAAGAAATCACATATGGGTATGGTGAAAGTGGCCTTGGTGGCACAGGAAGTGATTCTTCCTTGATTTCAGCTTTGGGCACTGAGTTTACTGCAGGAGCTACTGCATCATTGGTCACTGGAGTAGCTACTGCTGTCTGTGCAGTGCTGTCAGCTGTAGCAAGCTCTGAACTTTTGTCTGCTGGAGCAGGAAGAGCCTTACTGTTAGAGGCTGGCAGAAGAGCCTTTCCAATGTCCTAGTGTCCCCAGCAATTCAATTCAAAGAGAACAAGGTCAGAGAAAGAGGGATAAAAAGGTTCACAGATCATGCATGATATACTTTCAGGAACAGATATAATATTTCTCAATTACAGCTCCAAAATTTGTACTCCAAAATGCATCACAGCATATTTACAGCTAGTTTATTATGATATAGATCAATAAAACTCAAGTACCTTTATTTCATCAACAAGTTCTTTAGGGGCAACTTTGGTGTTCAAGAACTCATCAAGTTGTTTCACGGTTTGCTTTCGGTCCTGCCATCAATATAGAGAGAAAAATAAGCTTGAGATTTTATCCATATAATTGACAAGAAACCAGAAAAGAAGGGTATGATGACCAATGAAACTTCTTTGATTGGTATGCAATGTTCAGCCTCAATTTTCAACCAAAGCCAGAATTTACAAATTCCTGAATGCAACTATACTCATAATATATTACTGTATATATCATACTCCTCTCCCCATCTTGTGACTTTCAACATTATCAGCCACCAGTTTTGAAATCCTACTATGAACTATGACTTCAGAAGATAAACAATGATTTTGAGTGAAATTTCAGCGTTGATAGTACTAGTGTGTGAAGCATCATTGCATTTGTTGAAGTCCAAAAATTGATAATACAATGTTGAGAATTAGTTATCAGTGACTTAAATAGAAAAGAAAAATACTGAAAAGCTTGTTCATAGTTTCTCACCATCATTAATTTCTTTTGCTCATCTCAACATCATTGATAGACTAGTTTTCATTAGAGAAACTAAAAAACTGCCACATTGATCTCTTAAGGAAAATGGATTCAATTATTTAGATAAGAGGGGAAGGCAGTGTAATTTAAGCATCATCAAGGAAGAAAATTGTATTTTGTTTTATATTCTAATTCTCTTTGATCATCATTATCCACTTTAGTGGAAATTCATAGTATACAGCAATGTTATGTGAACAGAAAATTACCCAAAAGAACAATGCTACATTCTACAGCTTTGCATGCTCTAGTAACAGTTCTCAAAACCAATGCAGATAAGAGGGAAAATGTTCTTCAAAATTGGATTTTGAACATAGGAGTCCTGACTCCAGAGTAACACAAATACGATAACAACGTTGGAAGAACCTAACTGTTACAAACATAATACTATTATAATTGAGATTATAACAGTGTTGGGAGAACCAAGGCCTTATAATGATGATTATTTCTTTTACTTATTTACCCTGTTTAAATTCTCACATTTTGACGATGTCATTAGAAAAAAGCCTCATTCCTTGAAGGGAAATATCTGATGTTGATATTTGATATAACGTCACAATAAGGTCATTAGAAGGAGGATTTACAAAGTTGAAGCACAGATATGCAAAAAACTAATGCTTGCCTCCAATAACCAAAGGTGAATTATTCAAATAATTGATTATGATAATTAATAAAAAACATAGAGGGAAAACAATTGCATTCTGCTTTGAAAAACATACTTACCTCAGCAAATAAAAGCTTCTTGCTTGCAAATTGAACAAGTGCAGCTGATCCTACAACTTGGAGAATTGATTCTATCTACAAACAGAAAAACATCATAAACAAGTAAGTTAGGTTAATAAAGTCAAAATTATTTCTTTTTGAGAAAAGAGAATAAATTGTCAGTGATAACTCAGGATTAACCTCAGAAAAAGCTAACAGGCTCAGTCCAGCAGCTGCTGCAGCAATCCCAAGAGTAACTGCAACACCATCAGATGAATCCTGCAGTGATCCTCCATTAATTAGAAACACAGAGAAATACTCTAACAAGATCAGGAACAAAAATTTATTTATTTTAAAATCAAGCACATATAAATAGATCAATCACCATATTCTTGAAAAACAATATCTCATTCTCATCTTTTTTTTCTAATCAGCAAGTCCAGTTAATAATTCATTTTTCATTTTCCCTGATTGGTCAGTTTCCTTTCTTGCAAACTAAAATTCTCAATTTGAAAGATCAAACTTTTACTTCTCCCAAAAACAATTTAAATACCCTATATGTATTATTAAACTAAACAGAGAAAATACATACTAGTTTACAATATGAAAAGCAATAGTAGTATTTGCTCGTGCTTCAGCATTGAGAATAACAATTACAATTAGATAAAATCAAGATACTTACTCCAATTACTTCAGCTATAGCATCCGTGAGATTATCCAAACTCAATGTCTTCTTTGGTGCTAACCAAGGAAGACCACTACTCTGCAGAATTCCATTCCGTGTCAGAACACTAAACAGTAGAAAACAACTGACATTTTAAATTCAAAAGTTATAACTATAAAACAGCAAAATGAAAAGGGAAAGGAAATACCTTCCATCCTCTCGGTCCTTCTGCACCATCCTTAATTGCATAAGCAGCTTTAAATCCATTAACAGTAACCAACTCTGCAACCAGTTCAGAGTTCCCATCAAATCTGGCTTCCATCACAAGTTCACTCAATCAGCTTCAAGAAACTTTTCTTGAAAAGTGCAATAAGAAAAAGCAAATATTCTTGGTAAAATAACACAACAACCTTTGAATGCTGGTAGGAATTTCAGTCCCCGCACCATTACTAACAAAATTGGGATGATCTAACCTTAGATTTTGTGTCTAGTTCCTCCTCACAAAACTCATTTTTCAAAGTGCAATAAGGAATATCCCATAGTCATGATAAAACAACACAGCTACCGTTCAATGTTAATCAGATTTCTTCACAAAATGAGATAACCTAATCATACATTTTAGACCCAACTTATCCTCACAAGATTGACTTGCAAAATAATTGGTGACTTATAAGCTCTACCTTATAGGTTCTTATCATGTACTATCTATAGTCAAAGTGGGACTTGGGTTTTTCTCATCAATTAATAGGTCATATAATGAAATTGACTATAACAACAAATACAAAAAAATTGGAGATGAAATTGTTCTGTGTTACTCTTACTTGTCCAGAATAAACAATGTGGTATTCTGTGGTTCCTTAAACTTCAATGCAAGCTTCTTAAGGAACCCTGGCTTATCATCACCCTTATAAGCAATCGACACTGCCTTCTTCCTCAGACCCCCAACATCTGGGAACCCCACTTGCCTAATCTCCACTAGAGCTCTGATATCAAGCAACTGAGCATTCTCATCAGCCCCAAGTTTTGCATATGCATTCTTAGCAGACTCAACACCCCACGCCTTAGGCTTCTTAAAAACCTGAGACAAAACCAATGGCAGTGCCAGAATGGCCACTCCCCCAGCAACAATTACAGGGTTCTCAGTTGCAAAGCCAGTAGCACTCTCCACAAAACCGTTCACATCGAAGTCTCCAGTACCGGGGAGACTCAAAGTTTGCCCCAGTGCCTCCTCGTACGTCAAAGCTGAGGCAACATCACCACTCATAATTGAAGCTGCAAGAAACAATCCTCCATGAAGACTTTTTGATAAGCAACTTTGCAGCAACGTTGGTTTCTTGTCGGTAAAGGTGGAAAAGCTTGAACCTTTGCATGAAGAAACTGGAGGTTGTTTTCTAGTTGTCTTTGTATCAGAAAGCACAGACAGAGGGGTCAAAGCTGCAGCATTGAGAGCCTCCATGGTATCAGAAACTCTGTAGTGAAACACTCAGAGGAAGAGAGTATAAAGTAGTGCTACCATGAGAGGTGGAAGCTCAAAGGGTTGGTTGATGGTGGTTGTTTTGTTTCCTTGTGAAGGTGTTGAGTGTTGATCTATCTGGTTTGAGTGGAAACTCTGTGGTGTTGTTGGTAGGTGCAATTTGGTGGAGGTGCTGACGTGGTGAGGATATTGGAACACTACCAGTGACAGCATGACACGTGGAGAATGAAGATGAGAATCGGCTGATGAGATTGAGTTAAGGTTTCATGGTCTTAAATTGTGTGGCTCACAAACTTCCATAGATTTTACACAAACTACAACAACAATGGGAGTACAACAATTCTATATAGAGAGTGTAGTACAATTTTCAAACTTCTAGTAGTTTCATCTGAGATAATTTTTAGATCTTTTTAATTTGTTTTTATTTTAATTATATAGTTGATATTTGTTTATTCTAGACTTTTATTTTTGTAAAAAAAAAATCTTAGTTTTAACTGATATATACTCTTTTTACTGACAGAGAAAGGACGATTTGGTCTCATTATTATTGATGAAGTTGTTCTTTTCAACATTTTCAATAACTATTTGTAAAGAATGTAATTATAAATATATGTAAATCAATTCAATGGTCATATATACTAAATTTTAGTTTAAAAACAAATTTAATAATGTTAGATAAATATGTAATCATATAATTATATATTCACTCATACTTTTAAGATATTGTATGTGCAACTGAGTTTATTTAATAAGTATTGAATAATTTTTTTAAAACAATTTACAAAATAATATTGACTCTTTTACAAGAACTTTTAGTGCAAGGTTGGATTTATAAAAGTTATATAGAATTTCCAAAACTTTTTTTTTTTAACAATTTGATTGGGTTTAAAATATAAATATATGCATGATAAGATTATCTGATTATTAATGTCTGATTGATCTAAAACTTGATGTGCATCATGGATAAATTATTACGAAAAATATTTAAAAGTTTGATTATTAAAATTAATACACCGATACACATACACATAATATAGAGAATTATTTAAGGGTAATTTCTGGGAATAATTTGATCTCCATAATGTATGTTGGTGCATTAAGTTTCAATAGATTATTATATCCCTCTAGATATTTTTCTAAGATTCTCTCCAGTTTTTCAATAGAATTAGATCTTAACTGTTGAACAATTTTAATATTTTATATGAAAAACTTGAATGAATGGTTATATGTAGTGGAAAAAGATATTTGCTCATTCATTTTGTTAGTACAACAATAAAAGTAAGAACAAGTACTACTTTTTAGTGAAAATACAAAATATTTTTCACTATTTATATAGAAAAAAATAGTACGACCCAAGTTTTGTAAATACATAATGTCATGGCAAAAGTTACCAAAATATGTATACCTTTATAAATTATAATTCTTTTTATATATTTTCATATTTTAAAAATTAAAGAAAACAAATTAATACTAATTTATTGTTTTTTTTATATGGACTTTTTGTTTTGCATTATCTCTAACTTTAAATAAGATATTGATTATTCTTTAAAATCTTATATTGAGGGACGTTACAAAAAAACTCAGGGAAGTAATTGACCCCTCAAACGTCAAAGTAGAAATCCACAAATAATCCAAATAGCAAGCTTCCAACATTATGTAAAGTTAAATAAATTAAACTCATCCTATCTTGTCTATATGAACCTAAGATATTTATGTTGATGTGGTTTGTGTTACACGCAGCAAAATTACATCTGAAAACACACATAAAAATTACTCACATTTATAAAATTTTCACTAGTAGCTTACACTTGGTTTTACATCCTTCAGAAGGTCTACACTATGTTTTATTCATTTGATATTCATCATTCAAAACACTAGTCACTTTTATGATTGTGCACAATTATGAATCACAAACATAAGCATATCCAACTAAGTGTACTCAAAGCTGATCTTCCAAGTTCACAACAAGCTTTTTTAGTGGCTTTTTACTACAGGTTCAAGGCAGAGAAAAGTGTTGGATTTCTGTTCTTGGTTTCATTCAGATATTAGCTTTACCTTGCATGCAACTTGGAGTCAAGACATGCCTTAGCTCCAGACACGACTCATGTATATGCACTGCAAAGGTTCCAATGGGAAGCATTTTGTTAACTTGATTAAGTGGCAGAGGAGAATAGGCAAGAGTGCTACAATGCACAGTGAAGTATTGCATTTGTTGGAGCACGCAGTTATAGAGCGAAATAGCAATAATGGCTTTAGTTGATGATAGTAAAGCTTAATCTTTTAGTAAAGGCCACAGAAACATGGAAGCAACAAATGGAAATAGTATATTTGTCTGATGGTGCATTGGATGGACTGAGTCGCCTCAAGTTCTCAGCTTCTTCCTATAAAAAGAAAATTGAAAATTTTGGCAAATGTAAAGGATAAAGGAGAGAACAGGAGTATGTAGCTTCCATAAATCTATCAAAAAATTCAACATTTAAGACTAGCAATTGCATTGAAGATCACTTGCCAACTCAATTACTCTCAAAAGTAAAAGGATATATACTTTTACAAGTGGATAAAATTTGTTGATCTCCATTATATATTCACTATATTTACACCTAATAACTACTGTGCATCATTTGAACTTTGTTCTTCCTTCCTGCCACTCAATTCAGTGTTATCTGTGGGATTCTCAACGGACAACTTTGATGAATTTGACTGTTCAGTACTTTTACTTTCAGTTTCCTTTTCAGTTGAATCTCCTCCCATAATGGATTTGATGGCAAGCTGGCCAGAATATAGGAATAAACCAAGGGAATTTAGGCCAAAAACAAATGTTGCAAGATATGTCAAACCATTCACTATTGTCCTGTAAAAATTGCCACATGATTCTCATGTCAGGTGCTTTAAAAAAAGAACAGAAGTGTCTCAATTAGAAAAAGGTGATTGAAGCTACCTTACAGTGATAGTTATCTGGCGGACCTGAAAAAAATACAATTTCAAGATATAAATAACTTGAACCTCTGTTCTGTTGACATTGTTATCTACTATGAATGAATATGACACAGCAATTCTATGAATGAATATGACATAAGGTAAAGGTGCTTATTGTGTACACAGAAAATTGCAATTGTCTTTGTCAAAATACTATACTTAATGTGATCCATTACCACAATCATAGGCAATACCAGCTAAAATTGATCGTGTGAGAAATATTCTTGTACGTAGATGAGTGCTAAGATATATAGCCAACTTATGATCACGATAACAGTAGACATACTTGTAAAAGTTGATAACTTCGTTTCCAACAAATGATGTAATTGTAATCTTTTTCTTAATAGCTTCCCCAGGATACTCCAGTGAAGAGTATCAAAGATTGAAGTTTCTATACAGTTCCAGGAACGCATTAAAATGAAAGAATAAATTCTTAGTTTTATCCATTTTTCCCATTCAATTTCTACTCTCTGTACTTACTAGCGTATTTGTGAAAATAAAAAACACAACTATCTTAGAAGTATGTATTTCAGAATCAGGTAACTGTTTGACAAGAAACAAGGAATTATCCAGTTCCAAGACTCATTATAAGTAGATTCAAGCATATTTAGCAGAATCTCTAGTTTCAAGCTGGGAATATATTTCCTTACTAATCTCGAATGATTATTCAACTTCACTACAATGGAGTATTCCAATCATCACAGTCAAGTATTGAATATATGTTCATCAATGATACAAAATAACCATGAATTAATACAAATCAACATTAAATAGCCATGTAAGTAGAGGATAAACAATGTTGAAAACTTCAATCAAACTCCCAGAAGCCATAACTTTAGGTATATTCAATATGTTCATCAATGATACAGAATAATTATGAAGTTTGTGAATCAACAAGAAATATCCATGTAAGTATGAAGAATGTTACAAACTTCAATGAAACTGTCATAACATCAGGCAATAAAGACTTAACATAAACATATTCCTATACAATATATTAAAGGACAAAACATTAGAAATTCTAAGATAATAAAAATATTAAAACATTAGAAGTTATAAGAAACTTGAAGCGTTCTTAATTGGTGAAAGAAACACAGCTAGTTATTTCTGCCCCTGAAGGACATTCCATCAATCAAAGTACATGCATATTCCTTTGAAAAATGGATTCATGTTACCGAAGCAACTCTTTGTTTCTTCAACTGAAATGCTTACTTTTCAATCTTTTTCCATTAGTGTTTTGGAGCCTCCAGAATTGTAGCTAAAGTAGAATGATAAGCCATCCAATGAACAATTGTTCAAAAAAATTACTCTAGCCTAGTAACCAAAAAAACTATCAAGAGACGAAGCACCCTTCCATTCTAATTATACAATAATCATAATTAAGAATAGTAACAAGATTCAAATTCTTATCTATCAGATCCAAGCTTATCAAATCGAGATTCAAATTGTAATTGCAAAGCTGATTTTAGAATTGTGAGTTATAATTTGTAATAAAATTTCAATATTTAAAGAAGAAATATAACTTCAAATATACAATATATATGAAATAAAGTGTTCAAACTTTGACCTTTTCTTTGGTTAGATTAGTAAAAAGACACAGTATTATATAATTCCAAGTTTTCAACTAACATGCTGCACAACAAGAAGACCAAATACAGGGAAGGGAGACATACAGAGTAGTTATCTGAAATTGTTTGTCGGTTTAGAGTTCCCTCTATGGTACTGGCAAACTTATAGAGAATAAGAGCAATAACTCCAGCAGATACTCCCCCAAGCAATGTCTGAACAGGTGAAGGTGGACCCTTAGCATCTACAGAAGCTGACCCCAAGGCCTTCAAGCTATCCAATGCTTCTTCCTTGAGTGACTTCACTCCTGAAGACCTGAATTGCTAAAAGCACAAAACCCATTTACACATACAGCAACATAACATCACAGATAAGTAATATCACTCCAGAATTCAACTTTGCATAACAACAAAAACAACCCAACACATCCAATATCATGTTTTAAAACTAAAAATCTTATCTGAAATCACTTTTCACCAAAACATTTATGAAGAAAATCAAAACTTGGCACATTATCCTACAGCCATTGAAAATGCCGAGAGTAGTTTGCACAAATCAAATAACCTTTTATTAAAAGATCATTTTTTTTCTTTCTAGTATTAGAATTTGGGCTTGAGCCTAAATCAACCTAAA